ATTAGTAGAGACGGGGTCTCGCCCTTGAGCTCAGGCCGGCCTCCACCTCCTGACCTCTTGCGAGCGATCCTCCCTCCTCGGCCTCCCTCCCAAGACCGCCCCGGGATCGGTTTACAGGCTTGAGCCCCCCCTACCCCCGGGCCCGGGGCCGGCTGCCACCTTCACGTGTCACCTTTATACTTTGTTCGCTTGGAGGGGGGGGGACACCGGACGAGCCCCTGGGGTTCCCCCCCCATTTAGCTCACGGGAAAAACCGGGGCCCCAGGCTCAAGGTTTTGGATGGAGGCAGGTGGGCCGGGGAGGTGGAGGGGGCGGAGGGGGCCCACCCACTGGTGACCTTGACCTTGACCTTGCGTGCCCCCCAGACAAGCTGCGGGGCGAGATCAACAAGGTGGTGAACAAGTACATCGACCAGGGCGTGGCGGAGCTGGTGCCGGGCGTGCTGTTCGTGGACGAGGTGCACATGCTGGACATCGAGTGCTTCACCTACCTGCACCGGGCCCTGGAGTCCTCCATCGCCCCCATCGTCATCTTCGCCTCCAACCGGGGCAACTGCGTCGTCCGGTACGGCCGCCTTCCGCCCGGGGCTGGGCGGGGAGGGAGGCCGGGGAGGGAGGCTGGCTCGCCGGAGGTCGAGGCCGAGGCCGGCCTGACTGAGCTCGAGAGCTGAGAACGTCGTCGTCGTCTCTACTTTAAAAAAAAAAAACAAAAACACAAAAAAAAACCAGAAAGAAATCAGAGAAATCATCTCCCGGGGCGAGAATCTCGCTCCTCGGGATCTTTCTTAACTCTGGGGTGGAGGCTGGTGGAAGGGAGGGCGGCGTGGGGGCTCCCAGAGCGCTGGGATGAAGGTGAGACCGCGCGGCCCTTCTTTCTTTTATTTTTTTTTATTGTTTTTTGTTTCATTATTTTTTTTCTTTTTTTCTTTCTTTTCGTTATTTTTTTTTTTTTTTCATTTTCTTTTTTTATTCTTTTTTTTATTATTTTTATTTCTTTTTCTTTTTCTTCTTATTTTATTTTCTTTTTTTCTTTTGTTTATTTCTTTTTTCCTTTTTGTTTTTTTTTCTTCTTTTTCATTCTTTTTTATTCGTTTTTTTCAGCTTTTTTATTTTTTTTCATTCTTTTTATTTCTTTTTTCTTTTCTTTTCATTATTTTTATTTCTTTTTTTGCTTGGTTTTTTCTTTCTTTTTTTGTTTTGTAATACCAAACAAGCGGAAGGCAGGCCAGAGACGTTTTTTTTTGTCATTTGAGGCTTTGGGCTGCGGCGCGCCTTTGCCCCTTTTATCCGCACGGTTGCCGACCTGCTGGGTGTGTCGAGTCGCGGCTCCCTCGCCCGTCATCCTGTCACATGTCCTTTGTCACCACCCGCTGTCCTTCTCGCGCCAGCCGGACATCCCGGCGAACGTTCGCTATTTTTAGTAGGACGGGGTCTCGCTCGTTGCTCAGGGCGTGACCTCCCACTCCCAACCTCGAGCGAGCCTCAGCCCTCGGCCTCCTCGGGGGTAGTGGGCAGTGAAGGCGTGAGCCCGGGCCGCTCGTTCTTTTTTCTATGCTATTTTTAGTTTGTCAGTCTTTCATTTTTTTTTCTTTTTATTAGGACGGCGGTGTCGCTCTTGAGCTCAGGCTTGCTCCGACTCCTGACCTAGAGCGATTCTCGTGGCTCGGCCCCCCTGCCCGAGTGCTGGGATGACCAGGCGTGAGCCACTGGGCTGCGCCAGCTCTTTTTTTACCTATATATTATATGATTTTAGGTTGTCCGCTTTTTTTTTATTTTTTTTATGAGGATGGGGTTCGTCTCTTGTCAGGCTGGTTTTGGAATCCTGGCCTCAAATGAGCGATCTCCTCAGCCTCAGCTCCCCCCAGTGCTGGGATGAACAGCAGTGAGCCACCGCACTGCCACTAATGTTTTCTGTATATTTTTATAGTTGTCCAATTAGTTTTCTTTCTACTTTTTTTTTCTTCTTCAGCAAAGAGAGGGGTCTGGCCTCCTTGCTCGTGCTGGGCCTCACCTCCTGACCTTGGTGTCCTCCCGCTCGGGGCTCCATGATGGGCAGGCGTGAGCACCCACCGGCCTCAGCTCAATTCTTCTAATTTTTTTTTCTTTCTTTTTTTTTTTTTTTTCCCGCCTCGGCCTCCCTCCCGAGTAGCTGGGACGACAGGCACGCGCCTCCACGCCCGGCTCAGTTTTTTTTTTCTGTATACATTAGTTGGCCAAATTAATTTCTTTCTGTTTATAGCAGAGACGGGGTCTCGCTCTTGCTCAGGCCGGTTTTGAACTCCTGGCCTCGAGCGATCCTCCCGCCTCGGCCTCCCTCCCGAGCAGCTTGGGACGACTGGCATGCGCCAGCACGCCCGGCTCGTTTTTTTCTCTCTATATTTTTAACAGGCCAATTGATTTCTTAACTGGGTGGCGCGGTGACGGGGAACGTGGTTCCCGGGGTCCGACAGGCCACGCTGCAGCCAGCCCTGTCACCTGCCGGCCACCCACTGGTGCCAGTCGGCCAGCCGGACTCTCGGTCCTC